GGGGGGGGAGTTGTAGGAATTATCGGCGGGGGCTATACATCGATTAAAGCATTCCGGTAAAGCTGAAATGCAGAAAAATTCGGGGAAGAAGAAAACGCGGAAATCGCTATATGCGTTAACATGGTGACTACCGTTTTCTTGTTCCTCGCATTCTTCTGCATTTCAGCTTCACCGGAATGCTTTATTCACCTCCTTAGAATCTGTGTAGGTGACCGTGCCCTCCCTCCAACTTGTGGATAACCCCTCCCCCTTTCACCAGTAACTTGTCCCCCCCCCCTCCCCTCAGCAGCCGGGCGCTACAGGCTCATCACTAACGCCATCGCCTTGTTCTTTGTGCTTGCAGTCGCCGTCGAGGACATCCGCGAGGTGCGGTGCGGGCGGACCACCAAGGTGCACCGGGACTCCCGCATGCCCGCCGGCTACCCGGACGACTGGGCCTTCTCCGTCGTGTACGGCGACGACCTGCGCACCCTGGACCTGATCGCGCACAGCGCGGAGGACGCGCGGACCTGGGTGGCGGGGCTGTGCGCCCTCATCGGGGACCCTAACCGTAAGTTGGAAGAGCAGTCTGAACGGCGAGTAGCACTGAGGAGGGGGACTCTCAGACAGACTGTCGCACCAAATCGCTCGGTCAATGAACAGGAGTGGGGAGTGCGCCAAATATTGACCCTTGTGAGCGCCGTTAGCCGGCGCGCCAGCCTGTGCCGCCGTGCCCCCCATCCCTGTCACCCGGCGAGCCGAGCGACGAGCACACATCAAGGCTCACTGGGTAGATCAGAACCTCCCACCCCCGATCCCAGCCAGCCCCCTGCCTCCCCCAACTGTGCTGCGCCCGGCGCAAATCTATTGCTCCTTCCAGAGTCTCGTGCAAAGTGACGCTCTCGAAAATGTGCACTCTAAATTGCTGTTCTTTCTTTTTCATAAGTAGTTACGTAAAATCGTACTGTATTGCGAACATTTGCGTAAAACTTTGCAAAACTGTACAATTCTATTGCTCAAAAGCTGTGAACAATCGGGGGCTTCCAACGAATCTTAAGTGTCGTGTGACTACGGAGGGAAGGCCAAAATGTTGCACACTTTTAAGTCGCCCCGCAAGAGCGCGCCACCTCTGCATCCCCAGCCCTCAAGCCGAGTGCAACATGGCGTCGCCTCGAAAAGAATCAAGCATTAATCGTGAAATTTTAAAAATAATTTTGGTGTGGAACACTTGATGGCAGTTGAAGCTGTTTTTGGATAATCATCTTCCTCAAGTTTTGCTTCATTAATCGCGGAATTTTGCTTCGTCTTTCAGTAGCAATATGTTATGGGCTGCTTTTATCACATCAATCTTTGAGGTTAGGTAGCTATACCTCTCCCATTACAAATGCCTGTTGATCCTGTTGTAATGTTGCACAAGTAAGTTATGTTACGTGCAGTACAAGGCAGCTGGTGCCTAGAATGCAAGCACTTTGAACACAACACATGTGTGTGGCTGTGTGGCCCTATCACATTTTAGTCCCACCCAGTCTTTGATGAAAGTGTGTCTGCCAAAGGTAATTTATCCAATGTATCCAATGTTGCAGTTGAGAGTTAGAGTTCCGTAATGCAAATACACATGCTTGTGTGTGTGATGTTTTCTGTAGTTCCAACAGGGAGATTTAGTTAAACAGTCATTTCTATGATCTAATCAGTATTCGCCCCCACCCTCATTCATTCAAATTATAAATTGAGTATTGAGCGAGGAGCGAGGCGGGAAGTGAGTGAATTAAACAAATCACTCAAGTAGAGCAATAACCAAACTTGTGACTAAATTATGGAGAGGTTTCTGTATTTAAACTCAATGAGAGTGATTCTTTTGGTACATAGCTTGCGTACATTTTGGAACGTAAAAAGACAGGCTCTCAAGGCCCTTATCAAAAATTTCCTTTACGAATTAAATTATACACCAGCTATGTATTTTTTTTTGTGTTCATAACATGCTTCGAGGCTGATGCGCGGCTTATGGATAAAACGATAAATAACGAGCACATGCAGAATTTTCTGTCAAGCGCCTAATCTATTTCTGTTCCTTGTCCAGCGGCTGCCGGTGGCGGGCTCCGCGAGCAGTGGCTGTCGAACGCGTTCCACAAGGAGGCGGCGCGCTGCGGGGGCCGCCTGGGCGCCGAGTCCGCGGCCCGGCTGGCGGCGCGCCTCATGACCGCCAAGAAGGCCGCCGCCCCCGCGGACCAGCCACCACCGCCGCCCCAGCACCAGCGCGGCAGGACGCCGCCCGCGCAGGCCGCCCAGGAGCGCATCGCGCAGAAGCTGGCGGTATGTTGTTGGGGGGCTATCGCTTTAAGCAAGGTCGTGTGTTGTAGTAGTGTGTGTGTGGGGCGGGACGACACGACTCTCCCCCTCTTTTATATTTTTACCCCTCGCTGTAAATCTATTTTCTGTGCACAGGAGAACGGGCGGCGGCGGTCTATTGAGAGCGCGGAGTTTATCGAGACCTACAAGCAGGTGGTGACGCGGCCGGAGGTGTACTTTCTATTGCTCAGGTGCGTCCACCACATTCATGATCCGCCGTCAACCCCGTGGCAAACAAAACGTCTGTTTTGTGGCCTTTTCTCTATTCCCTTCCCCTTTTCTTTTTGTTCTTCTCCCAATTTATTAACACTAATAGGTATGACGTAAACGCACAGCAGACTTTCTCGTCGCCTTCCTTATTTTTAAACGGAGCCAAGCCTCCGCGTTTTGTTCTCGTAATCGTTACATGTTGTGTCGTGCCGGAGTGGCGTTTAATTAATTAGCATGAGTTGGTACGACGGCGTAATGTAAAGTAACGCCACGCGCCCTATGCGCCCCTGTCTCGGCCCGCCGGGACTCGCAGCCGGCCGCCAGAGCACTCCAAACTAGCAACCTTAGCCGCCCCGCCTCGTCGCCTCTCGCTGGAGCCCCAGAGCAACAGCACTGCCGCTGGCTTCAGTGGCGGGGCCAGAATTGAGTGGTGTGTGTGTGTGAGAGAGATGGAGATACCCTCTCGGTCGCTGTCTTTCCCTCTGCTTTTTCATCCACGGCTATACTGCAGCACCGCGGCCGCCAACTCGCGCCCGGTGAAATATTTAGGCTAATTTATGTGACCTGCAGGAGGTCGGTGGCTGGGCGGCG